CTTTGAGCCTTAGCTTATAAATATTTTGGAAAGAAGAACGAAATAAGTATTTATTAATCACTTGCTATGTGCCAGGCATGCACTAGGGATGCAAATGCAAGCAAAAGGAAAAATAATCCCTACCATCAAGGAACTTATTCCAATGAAGGAAAATTACAAACAAAAATGGTCTAAAAAGTGGGGTGGGAGAAAGTGAGAATAAAAGTACTGTTTAAATTTTGAAGTCCAGAGAAATTCAGGAACAGCAATAGGAGGAGAATGAAGGCAGGGAAACTTGGGAAGGATGGTGTGATTTGTAGAGGGGTATGTCTGGGTAAATAGGCCATAGGGATTGTAGGACGTTGCAGAGTAAGGACACCTCAGGCTCTTAGAGAAGTCTCAGGATGAGGTGTTTGTAAAGGGGACATACTTTTGAAGTCCAAAGAAAGTCAGGAATAGTGTCTGAAAGGAATTGATAGTGGGCCATTCTGCCCCTCTGCACAAAATGGAGACTCCAGGAGGAACTCGCCAATGGAAGAAGGGTGGAGAGCCTTGTGGAGAAATACACCACATTGAGAAGTCCATGGGGATGGTGGTATTTTCCAGGTTGAGGAGACCCTAGGCCCTGAGGAAAGGGATGAGACATCAGTAGAGAGAGCATGGTTTTGAAATCTAGAAAAAAAATCAAGAAAGGAGGGGAAGGAAAGTTGGAGCTGTTCTCTTCCTTGGAACTATAACAGCTCTTTATCATAGGATAAAGAGCTTTTGTTTACTTCTTTACTCATTCTTCCAGCCTGGGAGACTCATTCTTTACTCATTCTCCCAGATTGGGACTTTTTGTTAGGGCCAAGCTCTATGTATTTTTAGAAGGAATATCTTAGTTTTATATGATCTATATCATTTGTAGTTCTGCCACTGTATTGATTACAGTGCTATTCAAAGATCACAGGGACCTCTCAAGCAAGGAAGTCTTAGTGGGCCCTATGTGATTTAAAGTAGGATATGGTCTGATTGCTTCTCTCCTAGAACCTCCTTTCCAGGTTCTAGAATCTAGACCCCAGTTTGGATTTGGGCAATGCAACTGCAGACTTGCACCTGGATGGATCTCCAGTAAATACTTGCTTGCCCCAGGCCCTGTCAGCTAGCTGAAAGGTTATGCAGGTTCAGAGTAACATAGCTCCTGGCCTACTTTTGATCTTAGACTAGATCAAAGAAACAAGAATGCTAGCCTACCCCTGCTCCTAGACAGTGGACTGAGTCCAAAAATCCCTGTCTGGGATTAGAGTGACAATATTGCTGGCCGACCCCTAATCAGAGTCTAGGGCTCAGAGCCAGTGATCTTAGCTCAATCCTTCTCTGGGGTCAGAGAGCCCAGGCTACCCCTGCTCCATAGCTCTTGCCTTCGACACTTGCCAGTGGCCTAAATTTGTCATCTGGGTCTGGAAAAATGACCCACTGATTTTTCTCCTTAGATTTCCCAATCACTACTTGTTCAAGGGATCTTCTTAGATCCTTAGTGGTGTAGTGGTGAAGAAATCTCTACTATAATGCTTCCTTCTACTTCTCCATCTTAGCTGGTTCATCTGTAGTTGTAAAGGACAGTACATATATCTTCTTAAATTTGGCCTTTGAGGGTGAAGATTTAAAACCAAAAAAATGTTCTCTCCTTCATGAATTCTTCTCACCCAAGTCACTTTGGGGCTCATTAGTATACTCAGAGCACTCACAATTAGCTGCAGAATACTGATGCAATTTAGCTAGAATTTGATATTTGTTGGGAGATAAAGAAATCACTCCTCCAGAAATAATGGTGAGTCAGGGCTACTTATCTAAAGAGAGTGGGACTGGCTTGTCATTAAGATTGTAACTGTTAGGTGTCAAGTACCATTCAGAAACAATTTTTTTATTGGTTGGTAAAAAATTAATGCTAAAGTGCTTTACTTTTTAACAACTACAAACTTTAAAAAGCTAACTCATTCTCCTTTTCTTTCTTTCTGTCTCCTAATTTTGAAGGTCTCTCATCTCTGGCTTCCTTCTCCCTATTCATTCCTTTGTTCATTTATTCAATTAGCATTTGTTGGTTACCTATACTACGTTATCTATAACTATACTGTATTATACTATACTATACTATACTATACTATACTATACTATACTATACTATACTATACTATACTATACTATACTATACTATCCTACACTGTGCTGTACTATGTACCTAGGCAAGGGGTGGGGCTCGGGTGACTGAAAGACAAAAAGGAAACATCCCCTTCTCTTTAGAAAGAATGAAAATTGATTTAAAGAGTTTATGTTATAAAATAGCTCTTTGTCCCTACCCATGGACTGCCAAGGGTCAAGAGAGCTATGCTCTGAGGCTATAGGGGGTTGAGAATTTACACGTCATACTGGTGCAAAATATTGTTTCAGTTGCGAAATACTGTGTTACAGGGCTGGGTAACTGGTAGATAGACTATAGGAAACAAGTGCTGCTGGGGATCTGCCATGTCTCCAGGGCCCAACTGAGGACCAGGATAAAAAAGGAATGGATCATGGCTCTAAAGGAAATAGAGTCGACATAATCCTATTCAAGCAGCTTTATGGAAGCTTCCTAAAATCATTAAATTGTGAACATTTCAATTAGCTCTTGAATTTCCTCATAGCTCTCTTCATATCTCCCATAACCCTACCTATACTACATCTATTTCCTTCAGCTTCCCATCTCACCTGGCTCAGAATACACACACACACACACACACACACACACACACACACAGATTGAGCCAAATCTAGTCAGGCTTCCCCAGATCCAGTCTCATTTAAGAAACAAATCAACTGGCAAACTGACAATAACAACAGCAAACCCATGCCACAACACAAGAACAAGTTGAGGCAGAGCAAAGCAATTGTATGATTTTTTGGAGGAGGAGACAGGATTTCATTGCCGAATTCTATTCTGATTTTATAGGACCATAGATTTAGGGCTAAGTGGATTGAGTTCAACTCCCTTGTTTGACAGATAAAGTCAAGTTTTGCTTCTTTTTTTGTCTTCCCAACCCAGAGCCTGGGAACATAGTATAGTAGATATCCAACAATGAATGAATGAATGAATGAATGAATGAATGAATGAACGAACACAGGAATGAATGCAGAAAAGAAGCAACCATGGGAGGAAAGAGCTTCAGGATTAGGATATAGAGAGTGGCTCAGAGAGAATAAATGATTTGTCCTCGGACACAAGTATTAGACAGGATTTGAATCAGTCTTCCTAATGCAAGGACCATTTAATTCACCCTGCCACCTAGCTACCTTGCTTTTCTCTGGCTATAGTATCTAAACCAGGGTTGGCTGTATGAGATTGCCCTTTATAACTATTTGTGGCCTCTTCTTTCAGGAATTAAACAAGAAGTAGTTATTCTTTCTTTGGTCTGGCATCTCAGTGTGTTATGTTTTATTTTAAACTTAAATGTCTAATTAATTAATCCTAATTGGAACTTAAAGTTGCTTTCCAAAAGTCGCAGTAATGTCATGCAGTCTCCTCTAGCTTGTAGGAATGCTCAGTAGAAAACCCTACATTACAATTTGGAACATAAAATTCTCAAAGCATTCTTCTCTTGAAGACGATGGAATTGTTCAGAGAAAATCAGGAGAAATTGTCTCTATCAAGTGGCACAAAGCTATTTAGATAGAATTACATTGTCAAGCCAGCTTAGAGCTTAGTTATTCTTTTCTGAGATTTTTTTCTCTACTTTAAGCATTTCTTTTTTTTTCTTCTTCCAGCCCTATTCTTGTATTAAAAAAAGAAAATCAATATTTTCTGGAAGAAAAGAGAAGAGAGCCTTTAGAGAACTCCACTCCTTATTTGCTGCCAAAACATTAATAAATGTCACAAGCAAAGTTGGGTACCAGGGGAAACTGTACAACCTTATGAATATATTTTCTAAAGAGCTTAAAATGCCCATGTTGTATATTATTTGTCCCTTAAAGAGTCTAAGAGTTATTGATTTCTTCGACTGCTGCAAAAGCAATTTAATTGAACCAAAAGTTCTAAGTATGAATGTGTGGACAGACCAGTGCCCATCCAATGTGACTTTCAGCTGCCTCTTTGTTCAGTATGGATAGCCATGAACTTTTGGTACTTAACGAAATGGTGCCCTATGCTAGTATGGATAGCATCCCAGTCTATCAATAAAAAATAAAAGGAAATTAAGATCACTTTCACTTTTAAAAATGACATTATTTTATAGGCCCTTTAAGATCTTGTTGCTGGTAAAAATTGACTTTTCTTTTTTAAATTGACAATCATTGCAGGGCTGCCCTGTGGTATTCTAAAGGGGCAATTAACTGACAGAAGCAGCCATTGCCAGCAGCCTACACTCTGTGTGGGTCCTTTATTTAAGAACTTAGTAGTGTGTCTTGAGCAATGATTGGGAGAGTTCATATGTATTAATTTGATATATATTTAATATATAACATATAAATAAGTAAATATATAAATATACATATGCATACACATACACACACATGTTCTTTTCTCCAATAGAAAGGAAGTTCCTTGGGAGATGAGATTATTTCATATTTGGCCTTTTTATTCCTACAGCCTGGCATCATTGATTGATTGATTGTATGGAAAGATGCAAAGTATCTGGGTCTTAGGCCTTCCTAAATCACATCAACTTTCCCATAGGAGTAGCTGTCTCCCCAAACCAGTCCAAGGGATTTTTCCCTTGGATACTTGACATTAATAATGTCTGGCTCTTTTTGTCTTCATGAGATCAAAGATCTGCAGCCCCAAGCTATGATGGTGAAAAGAAAGAAACAAGCATTTGCTAAGCACCAACTCTGTGATGGGTTACTAAGCTCTTATGCATATTTCATTTTATCCTCACAACAACCCTGGGAAAGTAGGTGCTACTATTATTGTTGAAGAAAGTGAGACAGACAGAGGTGACATGCCCACCATCACACGGTAAGTGTCTAAGGCTAGATTTTAATTCTGGTCTTCTTTACTCCAGACCCAGCACTCTTATTCACTGCAACACCTGAAAAGAAGAGATAAGAGGAAGAGCCTAAATCTACTAACTTGGAGAAGAGGAGATGATGATGACTGGTGAGAGTGAGAAGGATGAACAATTTAACTCTTTTTTTTCCTTTTTGTTTTCTCTGTGTCCCTTTTTATTTTATTTTTTTGTGAGGCAATTGGGGTTAAGTGACTTGCCCAGGGTCACACAGCTAGTAAGTATCAAGTGCCTGGCCTGAGACAGGATTTGAACTCAGGTTCTCCTGACTCCAAGGCCAGTGCTGTATCTACTGCAACACTAGCTGCCCCTTGTTTTCTCTTCTGAAGGAGAATGGTCTTTGCACTTGGCAAGCTAAAACAAAAACATAATCTTAATTGGCTGTTATTATATTAATATCAATTGGAATTTCAAGATGAGTGATGGGATAAGATGGAATCTACCTGCTCTCAATGAGTTCAAGTCACCAGGTCCAGTCAAATGACAGTCTAAGGAACTGAATACATTGGTTGGTGGATGTGATTGCTGAGTGGCTGTCAGTGACCTTTGAAAGACTGAAGAGAAGAGTGCTTGAAATTTGGAGGAAATAAAACTTAGGGTTCATGAAAAGAAAACCTTTCTAATAACGAGAATAATTCCAAAGTAGACTGTGTTACCTGAGGAGTTAACGGGGTCCCCCTCTCATTTACATTCATCAAGTAGAGGCTGCATGACTGCTTGTTGAGGGTATTGTAGGGAGGAGTTTGTTCATGTGATAGATGGACTAATTGTGTCCATCTCTCGAAATCTAGGATTTCATGGATGTGTAGGGTGATCCACATTCCTATAAGCATCAACATGACCAGTCCTTTGACCTAGTACATTCCTTCCTTTATGCCTGAATTCATTTAATTGCAAGGTTACAAAATTTTGGCAATCTTTTCCAAAAAGGCCTGGGATTGGGATCTTCTAATAATTAGAATCTGGCATAAAGAATTACTCTGTCTCTTAATTGTGAAATCAAATGGATTTTCTCAGTTTCATTCTTCTTCACCCCACTGAAGCATTTGACACTATTGACCACCTTCTCCTCCTGGAGACTCCCATTTTGGATTTTTGTATGGCTCTCTTTTGGTTTCCCTCCCCTCTCTGACTTTTCAGTCTTTACTGGGTTTTTTATCTATATTATGGCAACTAATTGCTGGTAATCCTAAAGTTTGCTTTGGGACTTCTTCTCTTTTCCCCCTCTATATTCTTTCACATCTTGATCTCATTAACTTCCATGGATTCAATTATATTTTCTCTGCAGACAATTCACAGGTTTCATATATTCAGCCTGAACCTTTTTCTTGAATTCTAGTCTCACATCACCAATCTCTTCTAGATGTCTCAAACTTGATGTCTTGTAGACATCTTAAACTCATTATGTCCAAACCAGAACTAATTATCCTTACCCCTAAAACTCACTTCCCTTCTTTATTTCCCTAATAATGTTGAGGGCACTAGTTACTGAGTGAGTTAGTCAGTAAACATTTATTATGCACTTACAATGTTTTAGGCACTGTGCTCAGCACTGAGGATACAAAAAGAGTCAAAAGACAATCCCTGCTCTCAAGGATACTACATTCCAATGGGGGAGGTAACAAGCAAATGAATATGTACAAACCAGCTATAGACAAGATAAATAAGAAGTAGATAGGAGAAGTAAGTAAGAAGTAGATAAAATTAAGAAGAGTTGAGGAAGGATTCTTTTAGAACACAGGATTTTAGTTGGAACTTGAATCCAGAGAGAGCAGTAATCAGAGGTGAGGAGGGGGAACATTCCAGGCATGAGAGACAGCCAGAGAAAATGTCCAGAGTAATGAGATGGGGCTGTCTTGTTCATGAAACAGCTAGGAGGTTGGTGTCACTGGTTCAAAGAGTATATGATGGGGAGTGAGGTATAAGAAGACTGGACAAGTAGGAGGGGGCTGGTTTATGAGGGGCTTAAATGCCAAAAAGAGCATTTTATGGTTGATCTTGGAAGCAATAGGGAGTCACTGGAATTTATTGAGTTAGGAGGGTGAAATGTTCAGATATATGCTTTAGGAAAAAGCACTTTGCTGGCTATGTGGAGGATGAACAGGAGTGGTGAGAGACTGGAGGCAGGTAGATGGACCAACAAGATACATGGAAAGATATTTCCAGTCACTTAAGTTTCCAATATTGGTATCATTCCATACGCTTCACTCTCATTCACCCCACATAGCCAGTAAGTTGTCAAATCTTGCCATTTCTTCTCTAATCCCCTTTCATATAGGTTCTCTTCTTTCTCCTCACATGGCCATCCCCTTTGCTCATGCTTTCATCTCCTGTCATGTGGATTACTGCCATTCCCCAAACATGATGCTCCATCTCCCATCTTCATGGCCTCCCATTGGCTGATCCTCATGCTCAGAATTCTGTCCCTCTTCACCTCTACCTCTTAGAATCTCTGGCTTCTTCAAAACTCATCTCCTATGCCATTTTCTGAGAGAGGTCTTTCCCAGGCTTATTATTTCACTTTGTAGACCCAGTGCTTACTCAGCTTAATACTGGCAAATCGTAAGCATTTTATAAACTCACACTGATTGATTTTTCTGATCTGTATTCAATAAATTGGGAACCTGGTCACTGATTAGTACCTTCCCTCTGAGATTATCTCCAATTTATCCTGTGTATATAGTCCTTGTACATAGTTGTTTTCACATTGTCTCTCCTATTAGGCTATGAGAGAGAACAGAGATTGAGATCTCTCTCTCCTAGAGAATAGAGATTGTCTTTTCCCTTTCTTTGTATCCTCAGTACTTAGCACAATGTCTGGCACAAAGTAGTTTCTTAATAAATGCTTATGATCTTGACACGATTGACATGAATTTGGAAGACTACACCATATTCATTTGAGATCTTGTAGATCATATGGTCAGAATAAACAGTGATTATCACAGAGGTTCCCAAACTTATTTAGCCTACTATCCCCTTTAAAAAAAATTACTCAGCACCCACCTGGAAATCTACTTTCTTTAACCCTTTAATGTTTTTTTTTTATTATTAATTTGCATCATTTAAAAAATACCTCCCTTCTCCCCGCCCCAGACTGTTTTAGTGCCCCCAAACTGGTTGTATCACTCACTTTGGGAACCTATCATTCTATAGTGTCAGAATACATTAGAAAAAAATATTTAGTTCTTGGCAAATATTCTGATTTCTAACACACGCACACACACACACACACACACTCACACACAGGTTTGTTCTCTCTGTCTCTGTCTCTGTCTTTGTCTCATTCTCTCTGTCTCTGTCTCTGTCTCTATCTCTCTCTTTCTCTCCCCCTGTCACTTCATTCCATTTGACCCCTGTGGTTTATATAGTGACAGAAAGAGGACTCTTCGACTCAAGCTGGTGCTCTTTGAATACGGTGTCTCATGGGTCACAGAAAAAGAAAAATGCAGACCTCATAGAGATAGCAGACAGAAGAGTTTAAAAAAAATTTTTTGGTTGTCTGAATCAGATCTGTACTCCATCTAGTCTAATATGTTTCTCAGAAGATGGCACCAAGATTGATAGAATGGCATGGCTAGCCTCTCTGACATCAGCTTCCGAAAGTTAAGTATATCATCTGAAACATCCTATTTTCCCTTGATAGATCCATTATGAATCTATTATTCATGAAATAATCTAAATCTGTTTTGAACCTATATACATATTTAATCTCGACCACTTAACAGACTAAGAAGTCCCATAACTTTGCTACTAGCTGTATAAAGTAGCACTTCCCTTTATCGGTGCTCAATTTCTCTCTTCATATGGGCCCCGATTCTAGAACATATTCTAGTGGATAGAGCACTGACCCTGGAGTCAAGAGAAACTGAGTTCAAATCCGGCCTCAGACACATAACACTTACTAGCTGTGTGACCCTGGGCAAGTCACTTAACCCCACTGCCTAGCCCCCCCCAAAAAAAATAGAACATATTCTAAGTTTGGTAAGTGATCTTGGGTTGTTTTTGTCCTTTCCCTTCACAGTTTAAGAACTTTCAAGTCCATCTCTTCTTAGCTTTTTTTTTTTCAGATCGAAGAGTCCTGTTTTTAAAGAAGCAGTGTAATATGGTGGAAAGAACATTTAGGCCCACAGTCAAGAGACCTACATTTGAATCTTGGCTCTGCCACCCCTAACTATGAAGTCATGGGTAAGCCCCTCGACCTTCCTAAGACCCAGTTTTCTCATTTGACAAATGGAACTATTACTCAGCTTCCCCCCCCTGTTGTAAGGCAGGTACTTTGACTTTAAGTGTGTTAGAACTATGAATTATTATTAGTTTTCACTAGTATAAAGCCATCTGCTCTCCCTGCTTCCTGAGTAATTTTAGACCTTCCTGGTTTCTACTATGCTTTTCTTAAGCCATCAGGGTCAGAATTGCATATAATGTTAATAATAACTATATTAATAATGTATTGATTAATAATATATTAACAATAATTGTAATAATAATAACTAATATTCTATAGGGAATAGAGTGTTAGACTTGAAATCTAAATGTTCTGGCTTTAAATGCCACCTCTGATACACATGAGCTATGTGACAATGGACAAGTTACTTACCCTCTCTGAGTCTCCATTTCTTCATCCATAAAATGGGAATGGTGATACCCATAGTAAGTATTCTAAGACTCAATGAAATTATATGAAACATTTTGTAAACTTTAAAAGGATGAAACAAACAGTAGCTATTATTTTCATAAAGGATCAGGAAAACATTTCCTGTGGTGTTCATCATGCTCTTCTGGAAGATGTTCAACATTTTGTTGACCTTGTGGGACACAACAGCACCTAGGGTGACTGTCCTCATTGCTCAACCTTCTGAGGACTCCTGGATCCTTCCCTGGGTATTAATGACAGCTCAAAGCCAATGATTCCATAGCTACTGGTTGAATCAAAACATGCAAAATATATAGCTCGTGTTGGCCCACATTGACACTTACCTCTTCCTTTGCTATCTATTTATGCATCATCTAACAGAGGCTGTTTCCTAATCAAGGCACCTCACTGCTTGGAGTTTAGTGCTATCTGCAAGGCTGGAGGTTTCACTGTGAACCTCTTTTACTTGCCACATTGGCCTCAATCTCCTTCAAATATGACATCCCATCTCTCCCTCTGTGCCTTTGCAAAAGCAGCCTCCTATGCCTGGAGATGTTTCCTCATTTCTACCTCTTAGAATATTCCATTTCCTTGAAGACTCAGTTTAAGAACCCCCTCCTATATGAAGGTTTTTCTGGTTTCCCCAATTGCCAGTGCTCCATCCCTTCGAGATTACCTTGGATCTTCTTTGTATGTGCTCTTTGTATACCTATATATAAAAGTATTGCCTGGTTCCTGAGAATGTAAGCTCCTTGAGTACAGGGATAGTTTCATTTTTGTCTTTGTGTCTCCAGAGCCTAGAGCAATCTCTGGCACCTTGAGGGCACTTAAAAATGCGTATTAATGGATCTCATTCACAGTATCTTAATATCACTATAGGCACCAACATCTGAGACCTCCTACTAATACTTATTCTACAGTATATCCATTTATCCTAACCATTCCCCCATTGTTAAATTAGGTTTCTATCCATGAAAAATAAAAGAAAATTCTACTGCGGTGATGGTTCATTTTAAATACAGATTTGGATATAGAATTTTGTCAAAGGCTTTTGAAATTTAGTGACATTTACTGATTCTACCTTGTCCAAATGTTAATGTATTCTGCCCAAAACTTAGTAATAGTTAGACCTGTAGTCAGACATGATCTCACTTTGTAGATATAATATTTCTTCTATAAAGATGTTTGCTTGACTTATTTTTAAGTGTTTGGGTTTTTTTTTTTTGCGAAACTGTGTCTCAAATCATGCCAGACACCCACTCCCAATATTAACTTCCCAGGAAATCTAATTAAAATTAGACAATTAATTAAAACTAAGTAAAGGAGAGCTTCTAATCTTTTTTAAAGTTTTATTGATGTTAATTCAAATTAGACTAAATTAATGAAAATTTACTGAAAGGAGCTTCATCTTTTAAAAATCTTTTATAAAGTTTTATTAATAATTCAAATTAGACTAAATTAAGGAAATTTAAGTAACTTCTAATCTTTTAAAAATCTTTTAAAACATTTTGTCAATTCCTTTTGGGGAGGATTGGGTCTCTCTTACTTGTCCAGCCTGGAGATTAATTGCCCACTCACAGGCTAAACCCACTACTGATTAGCTCTAGTTCTCATCTGGGCTGATTCGCCCTTCCTTAAGCAGCCTGGTGGCTCCCCCCGCCAGGGGCTCCTCCTGTTGGTACTGGGCTTACTGTAAACACCTGAATGACATCACCTACTGCAGTTCAGAACCTTTGTGTTTAAGATATCCTCCAGCCTCAGGCTTCCCTGTAGCAGAGATTACAGGGACAAATCACCATGCCAGTTGGTTATCTCATCATTTAGGAATCCTATCCCTCATTATAGTTCCCAACAACTTGCCTAGTGTGGAAGTGAAACTCAGCAGATGGTATCTATAAGGGTTCCCCTGAACATACATCACACTGTCAATTCAATGTAGTGGAAGGAGTAAGAAGTCGAGTTTCAGGCATTGTCAATGGTAGGTGATAGTTTAATGTAATGGAAGGAGTGAGAAGTCTGGGTTTCTGGTTCTAGCTTGGGTACATCTTAGTTGCATGACTCTAGGAAAAGTTACTAGATCATTTTGTGCCTCATTTTCTCATCTTTAAAGTGGAGATAACACTTGAACTCTCCTCATAAGCCACAACAGAAACCATGTCCTAGAAGAACTTCCACCCTAGGTCCTTAATCTCCAGGGGAACACCATTGAACACCATTTCCAGAAAACTGCAGCCATGCTTCACTTCACTCTTTCCTCTTCAGCCACCCCCTATTCAAGCTCCTCAATAACAGCCTTGCTGTTCCCTTTCAGTCCTGGAATCATGAACCATGACCGAATCAACTCTGCCATTGCTTCTAAGAGGCTGTTATCTACCTCCTTCCCATGGCCCCATCACCCCCACCTGGAACTTTCTGGACCATAGTGACCCTCCATGGTAACCACTTCACCATGTATGTTGTTTCTCCCAATACAAGATTTTTGAGAGCAAGATTAATGTTATCTGCCTTCTTTGTATCCCCAGTTTAGTATAGTGTCTAGAACATAAGAATATGGAAAGAGTATGAATAAATAGAAAAATAACAGTCAAGTTTCAATGTAGGCCAGCATGAGCTATACATTTTGGGGGAAAGAATTCAACCTATAGCTATGGCATCATGGGCTTTGAGCTATCACTGGTGAAAAGATTTAGGAATCCCCATGGGCCATTCTATCAAGACAGTCACCTGAGGAGCTGTTGTGGCCAAAAAGGTCAATAAAATACTGTTCATCATAAATAGCTTAATAAATGCTTATTGTCTCTTTTGGGGTTGAGTCTCAAGGAAGTGACCAAAATGACTAATACAGACCAGGTGAGTGCAAGAATGGGTTACTCAAGACTATTCTTCATTTACCAGTTAGTGCCATACTTGTCTGATTCGTGGTTCAAAGGGAAGGTATAGACTGATGGTTGTGTAAAGTGAAGTTTCATATCTGCCAGCCTCAAGTGATTCACTGCTAAGACCGGAACCATGAAATGGGGAGGAAAAAATATTCCATTCTACTTCATTCATCTACAAGGTACCTCTGTCACCTGCAAGTTGTTAAAATTGGAACAAGATTTTTTGTTGTTGTTGTTCAGTTTTTGTAGTTGTGTCTGACTCTCTTGGATCCCATTTAAAACTTTCTTGGCAAAGATACTGGACTGGTTTGTCATTTCCTTCTCCAGTTCATTTTACAGAGGAAGAAACTGAGGTAAATAGGGTTAAGTGACTTGCATAGGGTCACACAGCTACTAAGTGTCTAAGGCCAGATTTGAACTCAGGGAAATGAGTCTTCCTGACTCTAGACCTGGCACTCTATCCACTGCACCATCTAGCTGCCATCTATCTCTGTCTTTGTGTCTCTCTCTATCTCTACAGCTATGCATGTACATATGTAATGTATGTATGTATGCATATACGAGCACACACACAGTACATTTGGAAATTGCGTATGTTGTGTGTTACATACAATCGACCACAAGTTTTGAGTCTTCCTTCTAACACATGCATATTACTGAATAAGTAATGAGAGACAGATATGTCTCTCACTTCATGCCATAGAGAGTATAATTTTCTGATATCATAGATATAATGGATTTATTAAAAAGTCATATTATAAAGCATCCACCACTGTTTTCTGTACTCTAGCCTGCTTTCTATTGCACATTGGACCTCTCTTGTCTACCACCAGTCTTGTCTTTGCCTTAGTGGCTCAGTGTGCAAAGCCTAAGGAAATAATGTTGGTGTTTTTTTTTTCCTACCTAGAGGTATTTGAAGATGGTTATGAGGAAGAAGAAGATGAAGAAAACAGCAGATAGTCAAAAGATGGCAATTCAGTGATTGAAAAACTTGAGGCTGATGTCCTGAAGTCATAGCTTCATCAAAGGAGGCTGGCATTTCCAATATTCCCTCCCAAATCTGCTTCTGACTTCCTAGACTTTCCCCCCATGATGCTTCATCCTGTAACTTCCCTCAGAACCTGGGACTTCCTTGTCCTAGAACATCAATCTGTCTCTAAAGGCCTTTTTAACCTGGAACATCCCTCTGCAATGCTGGCCTCCCTTTTCCTATTGGTGAGTTCCTCCTAGGACCTGCATTTTGGGGAGCTGCCCAGACTAGATAAACTTCATCCTGCTGCTCCTGGCTTCCTGGATGTGGACACTGTGTCTCCCAATCAGGTACTCTCACTTGACCTCCCATCCCCATGCACTTTTCAGCCCCCTTTTGTAGGTTATTTTTGCTCTTTACAATCTAAGCTCCTTGGGGGCAGGAGCTGTCTTTTTGCTCCTATTTGTGTCTCCAGGACTTAACACAATGCCTGGCACCTAGCAATGCTTAACGATGCTTGTTGCCTTTGACTCTTTTTTTCCCCTCTAAGAAGCTGGGTATGCTCATTCTGGCCTCTCTTCCCGCTGGTAGTTACTTCTGATTTTTCTTGTATGCAGTTTGTTTGTACGCATTTGCTCACTGTCTCCCTTATTAGAATGTGAGCTCTTTTAGGGCAGGGACTAGCTTTTTGCTTGTATTTTTATCCCTAGCACTTAGCACAGAATGTGGTGTTTGACAAATGCCCAAAAAACACCTATCAACTGACTCTCTGAATGTTCCTGAGGACCTCTCAGCATCACTGAGAGGAACCTGAAATGGTTAAAAAAAAGATGTTTCTTTCACTCTATGGGAGGAGTTTCTGGCTCCTGGAGACTCAGGCTCATTATGTCACTTCAAGGGTCGTGAGACAAAGACTAATCTTCCTATTGCTATATAGAAAAAGCTAGGACCCAAGAAAATAATAAGACTTGTCCAAATCACACAGCAGAAAGACTCTAGAAAAAGAGGGCCAAGGACTGTGCTTGTTAACTGACTGACTGAAAGGACAAATGTCTCCTGTCAAAATCATGGCACCTTGTCATCTACTGCAATTAAGTATTTATTGAAAATAATGTATCTGGAATGCAAAAGAGATACACCCTGGAGTAGAGGAGAAGGAAAGAAGAAAGGAAGGAAGGAAGGAAGGAAAGAAAGAAAGAAAGACAGGAGATAGATTTCAATTTTAGGATAGATTCCAGAATTCATTCTCTTGGATTATGTTGACTATGGGAAATAATTATACTTTGACACTTCAATGGATCCACGTGGATATTCCTCCATTGATGCAAAGTGCAACCCAGCCTGTCCTTCTCCTCCTATTCACCTCTTATTCATGGGTTTCCATATAGGAATTCTTCATTGTACAAAGGTCCTTCCTCTAGTACTTTTAATTCAGGTTGTCCATTTACTATTTCCTTCCATTCTCATTCTATGACTAGCTCACTTCATTTTACTGTACAACACTGTGACTTCATTAGGTCTATAGCTTCAGAACTGGAAGGAAACTTAAGAGTTCATCTAGAAGTAGTGAGGTGATAGTTCTGGAGTCAGGAAACCTGAGTTCAAATCCAACTTGAGATACCTACTAGCTGTGTGCCCCTGGGGACATCATTTAATTTCTGGTGCTTCAGTTTCCTTATCTGTAAAATGGGGATAATATAAGACCACCCACTTCCCAGGGTTGTTGTCAGGCTAAAATGAGATTCTAGCTGTTATTATCTAATCTTCTAAGCTATCAATAACTAAGTAAACTGAAGTGCAGAGAAGGGAATGAACTTTCCAAGATCATTTAGATGTCAGAAGGAATTTGGATCAAGGCCTTCTGATTCCCAAGCCAGTGTTCTTTCCCCTGCATTATGTTACTTCCCATCTCTTGGTGATGTCTTTTGTGTTGCTCCTTGGATACAAGTCAAAACTGGTAGGACGCCATGGACTATTGACACCCATAAAGGTCATTGTGTTACTCTTTAAATCCCCTGCAATTTTGATTCTCCTAAGATCATGATGTTCCATTGATCTACAGCCATCTAGCATCGCCACAAGAATGTTGGTGTGCAAAAGATGGACTTTTGCTACTCAAAAAAATATTTTTACAATGAGAAGTGCCCATCCACCCCCTGCCCAATCCTCCATTTCCTTTTCCTCTGCCCCTAGTGTGTCTATTTTGTATTCCAGATGCGTTTAATTTCAATAAAAGCTTGTTTCAGAGGTAACCAGAATGCCATGATGTTTATAGAAAACATTGGTCCTGTCCTTGCCCTTCTAATATGAGAACCTTGTTGTGGGAAAACATTTGTTCAGGAGACAGGCAAACTATCCTTTGTTCTCTGGGACGTGTAGCATCTCTCCCAATGTACCCCACCCACTCACTGGCAAGGCATTTGGGCAGCACAAAGCCCTCTTTCATGCTTATTACCCTGCTTGTGTGTGGGTGGTACTAAGCAATGTATGGGGAAAGGATTTGAGGGAAGCAGACTGTGTTAGGGTAAAGTTCAGTCTTCTCTCCCTTTTCTACCGTTTCTTTTCTTTTTCTGAGTCACTGACAATGTTATTTATGGAATGCCAGGCCTTTTTTTTTTTTTAATTAAAAGGCTGGTGGAGAAGGTCTTGTACGAGAATGAGAAGGATGACTCAAGACTAGGTGAGTGCCAAATGACTTCCTGTAATAGTGCCTGTGTGTTTCTTTACGGGAGCAGGAACTCAGGCGTGTGGCAAAGCTGAGCCATGCTTTCTGCCGACACTGAGCTCCCTCCCTGGCTGTAGCTCTGGCCATCAGGCATGTGCAAGGTCATGGTCTTTGGCCCATGGAACCAGGGTTAAGCTTATCTAGGAGCAAGGAGAGTAGGGCCTGTTACACAAACAGCAACCTTGCCTGAAATTTTCTTTTCTGCCTTAATAAATTATACTGACTTTTCTTTTAAACCATTACAAAGTAAAAGATTGATAGAATGAGAAGGTAATGAGGTACAGTAGTTCTGGGTTTAGAATTGGAGGACTTGGTTTCAAATTCTGGCTGTGTGGCCTTTGGCAATTCAAACTTACCTCTTGGGGCTTCATTGGTAAAAGGAAAAGGCTGAGTAGCATGGCCTTCAAAGTCCCTTCCAGGCTAAACCCAGTGACCTCCAGATGATCTAGCCCTACACACATTTTCTAGATAAAGAAACCAAAGTCTAGACTTCATAGCTACCAAACTGATTTTCTGAAGTTTCAGCTCTGACTATGACAAGTTCCCTACTGGGAAAATTCCAGTGGCAGCCTCTTGCCTCTAAGATAAATAAACTACTGTTAGACCTTTAAAATCCTTCTCAGCTCAGCTCTACCTACCTTTCCAGGCTTAATGCACATCCTTCCTCTTCACTGACTGTTGTACAACCAAGTTGCTCTTCTTACTCTTCCTCATAAATGACACTCCTTTTCCTTTTTTTTTTTTCTGCATTGTCTTCCATGCCAGGAATGAGTTCTCCTTTCACTTCCACCTAAGGCCATAGATTTGGAAATGGAAATGAACATCAAGTCTAATCTCATTTTTACAGGTGGAAAAACTGAGGCTAAGAGAGATGAAATGATTTTCTCCAGGTTAGAGGGGAGATAAGTGGCATGTGTAGCCTCTCTCCAAACTGGTTGCTT